CTTACTGCAACCTCTCCTGCTGGTTTTCCAAAGTTTGCATGATTTTCAGTTGAGGAATGCTATTTTTTTTTTTTATAATTTTTTTTTTGGGAGGGGAAAGGGAAAGGGAAAGGTGACTTGAACTCTTGATCTCAAGAAGGGAAAACTTTTATAAGATAAGGAGTACCATTAGACCAAAGAATCTAATTTGTTGGCCCAATTCATTATAGTCATTGGATTGATTGTGAGCCTCATCAAACATTGGAACGTAGTATTGATCCAACAGTTACAATGAAGTCACATCATTAAGCTAACAGATTAGGTCAGATTTTTAGGTTCCCATAATATTACTTTTTAAATTTTGTTTGCATGTTTATTCCGGTACAAATTATTTTGCTGTAGAAGTTTTATTGCTACTGACCATACTCTTGTTGACAGTTCACAACACAAACTTTTCATAACTATGCAAAGGATGAATTTGGTGATCATATATTTATGTGTTCTCTCTGTGCATGGCCAAATTGCTCTTAGACATGTATACACCAGGACCAGAATTATGGAATATGGAGAGTTCTTGGTAAGCATGTGAAGGAATCTCCACCGTTGGCCTTTGTAATTCCAAAATGATAGTAGAGCTCGTGCAATAGATGTAGTGATTGTTATATGATTTAGCAATCGTTATGCGCTGTAATCATCCATTTAGCGCTAGCATATGTTGAATTAGATAAAAACCTATGTTACACTCTCACACAGTTCAAGCTTTTAGATGAGATGGACGCTTTAAAATGTTATTAGAGCTAGGTTACGAGAGGGTTTGTGCAAGATTCTCTATTAATTGTGTTTGATCTCCGTTGATTGTGTCATAAGTGCAATTTTTATGTTTTGGATCTACTATGTATGTATACACATGTGAGCAGGGGAACTTGCACGTGTAGAGGAATGTTAGAGTTTGTAACACGCCAGTATAATAACATCTCCCAAATTAATATAGGATTCTTGTAGGACTCCCCAGTTATTGCCAATTGGCTAGGAGTTGGATGCTTTAATCATAGCTGTAGAAGGAACTGAGATAAAGTGCAAGATTCATAGCAAAAGTTCTTTCTCTCCAATTGTCTTTTATCATCATTGGTGAGGACGATGGTTAGCCATTAAGCTATCACTTTGATTGGGTCGCTTTGTCTGCACGTTTTCTTTTCGTATGCTTTTCTAAACTGATGCAAAAGTTTTTCACCTCTCTATGCTTCATCTTTTTTTGTGAATTGTACAATGGGCAAAGAATATTACTTCTAAGTATGCTGCTTTGCTTTAAGTTAAGAAAATTAATAAGCCTAATTTCCACAACATGTTTTTATAGGATTCCCTTGGAGGAAACTGCAAAACAATTATGATAGGTATGCTTTCAATAGGCTTTCCAGCTATGTGGAGTTAGTACAGTAGATTTCAAGATTTTTTTATTGCATCTCCATATTTTCTTTCTAACATCCCTGTTGTTTTTGTTTTCTTCTATATGAGTGTAGCTTGTGTAAGTCCCGCAGACACAAATGCAGAGGAGACCTTGAACACATTGAAGTATGCAAATCGGGCTCGCAACATTCAAAACAAAGCCATCGTAAGCTTCACTTAATACTCAACTAGTTCATATTGTTGTTGATTTTAGCCTTCTCAGATTCATCTTTCTATTTGTAGATCAACCGTGATCCAATGGCAGCTCAGATGCAAAGAATGCGCAGCGAAATTGAACAGTTGCAGGCAGAGCTTCTTTACTTTCGTGGAGATTCCGGTGCACCATTTGAGGAACTTCAGGTATAATACTGTTGAAGAATTGTGAGCATCTGCTCCATGATGTTTTTTGGTTTCAGATGTTGAATGCTGTTTCTCTCTATAGATTCTTAAGCACAAGATTTCTTTGCTCGAAGCAAGCAACGCCGAGCTACAGCGGGAACTACAAGAACATCGAATCAGTTGTGAACTTCTGACACAACGTGCTATTGATGCTCAGGTTTGTCATATTTGAGTAGTATTCGACCACTTAATGAGCTTCTTAATGTGTATATTAGCATGGACTAGTACCTCATGAAGCATCACTTACGTGGATTTGATGTTTTAGGTTGAAAAAGATAGACTTATAATGAAAATTGAATCAGCTCAAAACGGTAAATCCTGGGATGAGATTGACTCTAATTCAAATCAGGTTTGAATTAGTAACTTGAGATAAGTTTATCTATTGCCTTTTTGGACCAATCTTAATCTTGATGACCTAGATTTCAAATCATCTTCTCAGGACTTTGATTTGGTGAAAAACTATGTGTCCAAAATTCAAGAGTTAGAAGGGGAAGTGCTACGCTTACAAAGATCAAACCGTTCAAGACATAGTGAAGTTGCTGATTATCATGACTTGGATTATGATGGGGTTCTCTCCAAAAATTCTTATTTCACAGTGTCTGATTCAAAAGCTGCAGACATGAGCGGTAAGCTGCTATTAACTGTTTTACTCTTGTACATGTCTTTAAATGCCATGCTGCTTTTGACAAAGCATATTACTTTTTTGCTTTTGCTTTAAATAGTCATATATTTTTTTTTGGGGGCATGGTCTGCACTCAGGTTCAGAACCAACATTTTCAGTTTGGTGCATGCTTTGCATTATGCGGATTGAATACATGTTTCTTGCAATATGTGTTAGGGATTTCTTGTTTTACGATAGAACTAGTTTCACAAAATATTTTCTGTCCACTTATCTCTGTGGAAAGGAAACTAATAGCTTGGTTTTAACTTTTAACCACTTGTAGGTGAGGAAGAGGGTGAGGAGAAAGAGCTTGAACATTCTTCCCTTCAAGAAAAATTGGACAGGGAACTTAAAGAACTGGACAAAAAACTTGAACAGAAGGAGGTAAATGTTCGCATATCCTGACAAGAGAATAAATCTTGCTTGCTGTGATTGTTCAGGCAGATTTGGTTGTGATGTCTGATTAGATATGGATTGCCATGGGTAGATATATCCTTTTGTTGTTGCTTACATAGGTGGAAGATGCATAATTTCTCATCAGAGAACACAATTGTATCCAAATGAATTTGAAAATAGCAGGGGAGAGGGCACAACTATGATCCCTAATAACTGGGCTTTCAACTTTATTGATGCACACTCCCCGGCATGCACACCCTGGCTTTTAACTTGATTGCTTGGTATATGTGGGTTCTTCCTCATTTTGGTAAATGCACATCCTTCATTTTTTTGTATTGTGTTTTCCCCCTAGCCTGTTAAATTTTGGCAGTGAAATCCCTAATAAGCAAGTGGGGCATGTGTGGAATATGGAAATAGTGATGGGGTATCATGCTTGTTTTCGTATCAATCTTGGTATTTCTACAGTGGTGCCTGTTAGGTTAATTGCAGGTGATTTGGATTTTCTATTTTTCCATGCAAAATATGGAGCATCAATGACTTATTGTTTACTTCTTGTCAATGCAATGTGTTAATTATGTGTTGCCCTATTCTGAAGAGGAAATTGAGCTTAAAGATCAAATGAGTTTTTCATAAGTGCATTGAGTTTGACTGGCCATTTATTCATCTACCTGGGGGGGGTACTTGTTTAGTCGTTTCTAAAATGCTGTGGCTCCTTATAGTCATGCTATAGTTGTTTTGTTCGGGAACTAAAAAAAGCGTTTACAAGTGATGATAACTTACCTCCGTTTTGGTTATTTTCTAAAGGCTGAAATGAAGCGGTTCACAAATGTTGATACATCTGTTCTTAAACAACATTATGAAAAGAAAGTTCATGAATTGGAACAAGAAAAGAGATCTCTCCAGGTAAGCTTCTATTTGTTACATGTACTTAATGACATTTCAAGTCCACTATTCGTGCATTGTTTGTGATTCTGTCGTTGATCGGCAGAAAGAGATAGAGGACCTGAGGTGCAATCTGGCAAATATTTCATCCAATTCTGATGAAAGTGCTCAAAAGCTGAAGGGAGATTATCTACAGAAGTTGAATGTCCTTGAAGCACAGGTGAATCTCCTTTTGCTTCAGTATCCAATCATTATTACTTCTTACTAACCTTGTCCTTTTTGCAGGTCGCTGAGTTGAAGAAGAAACAAGATGCACAAGCTCAACTCTTGAGACAAAAACAAAGAAGCGATGAGGCTGCAAAACGACTAAATGATGAGATTCAGAGAATAAAGACACAAAAGGTGGCATTCTGTGATATCTGAAACTTATGCACAAGAAAGCAGTTTGTATCTTAGCTCTCACTGTTAATTCAATTGTGAATCATTTAGGTTCAATTACAACAAAAAATAAAGCAAGAGTCTGAGCAGTTCAGGTTGTGGAAGGCATCACGGGAAAAGGAAGTCCTTCAGGTATATATTTTACCATAGACATATTCCTTTTGTACAAGTCCAACTTTGGTAATTTGTGTAAGAAAGTTCCAGATGCACAGTTGACCACTTTTGCTTTATTCACTGAAGGTTTCGGCGAACCATTATTTTGTCTTATTTTCTGGAGGAGCTTTGATTAACAAGTATTTACTTTCCTTTAAAGAACAAATTTTTGATAAACAAATCTCAATCTCAATTTTGAGTCATTTACTTTGTGTATTTTTTTCTTATGATGTGAAACGGCTATAATTAAAATGCAGGTTGGGTGAGAAATAATTATTTATCAGAAGATGGTGCCCATATTTTCTCTTCCATGAGAGAGATATAATATATAGTTGTTCTTTGTGCATTTAGTTTTGTGGACATATTATTAGTGATTCATCATTCATACTTATTTTTATGATGGATGGAATTTCTCGCTATTCTGTTCAGTGTTTTTAAGTGTTCGTGTGAATAATGTGCATCCATGTGCTGGATACTGTTTTGTTATGATTTCTAGGGTAAATCTCTACATATTTGTCATATTTTTTTAATGTGTAAAAAGATACTAATGCATGCCAGAAATATTATAGTAGTGAATAGTAATTTAAAATATTTGAATGCTGTACTATTTAGATTTTAGAGTTTTCTACAAGTTTCCTCTTGATATCTTCTTATCTTGACAGTTTTCGTTGGTTCACACAGTTTTCCAAGGCTTTGGTCTTGGTGACAATTTGAAACTTGGTTTTTTTTTGGGAAATGAATTTGATTGTCTTTTTGGTAAATCCTAGTGCCATTCTTACAAAATATAGAACCATAATTCCAGGGAGTATAATGTGAATGGTGCTTTGTAACCCCTGCATTATCAGAACATGGTAAAGCAAACTGCAAGTATTTAGAAAGTTGGATCTACTTGTTGGCTTCAATTGGGTTCATTTCGTCTGTGATCTGTCTTATTTGTTTGTTTCTTTTTTTCTGGAGCAATGCTACAAAATTCAAATGAACCCCAAAAAGTTACAACCCAATTGCATATCATCTCTTGGATGAATGAATCTCATTAATTTTTTTAGTGGGGCCCACTCATCTAAGGGATGATATGCATTTGAGTATTAACTTTTGGGTTTCATTTGGGTTATGTAGCATTTTTCTTTTTTCTGTCTCAACTTATACAAAGGAGCCCTCACCAACAGCTTCCTCTCTTACGTTGAGAGATGTGATTGGTATGACTGGACATAAAAGAGTGGAGAGAAATTATTTCCATCTTTTTCAGGGTTTTTGACATCATCTTTACAGAGTTTAGGGTAGAGTCTCGTGCAACTTTTTGTATTACTTCCACGGGGCCATACAACTTGATTGAGGAATCTTTTCTGCTCTATTCGAACTTTTTAGGCAGAAAGAAAATAAGTAGAGGGATTACAATTTATAAATCTCTGAGTTAGGTGGCAGACTGACATGTTTCACTCTATATGTACCATAAGTAAATGAAAGGAAATCCTTAATTTTTATAGAATTGCTTTTTTTATTTGAATCAAGTCTAGCTCTAGCCTTAAGTATTAGTTTTAATCGCAGTATTAGAAACCTCAGATACAACCAAGTACTAAGGATTTGTTTAGCAAAATTTGATTTAAAATGCACAATGTGTTAAGAGATATTAAGACATAAAATAATTGTGGGAAAATCAGAAATAAAGTGCACCAGATTCTCAATCCAGCCACGTACTAGGGTATACATGTTCTTCCATACCTGAGGCTGCTTTTGCTCTGTATCTCATCTACAAAGGTAGTTTGATCTCGCTGATGCCTAATGAATGAGTAATATGTTGCAGTATTACTTAAACAATGTTGGTGGGATGTAATTAAACTCAAATACATTCTTCAACTTGCAAGGAGTTAATTGAAACTTGAATACATAGTCCAGTTCTTTAGTAGGTGTTCTCTGACTCTGCAATATCTTTTCTAAGGTCTGCTGGAAATTTTTTGTATATTTCTCTCTTTTTTTTTTTTAGAAGGTGCTGTAATTTGTTTTTACTTTAAGGGAAAGATAAGTAATTTCTTTGAGNATATCTTTTCTAAGGTCTGCTGGAAATTTTTTGTATATTTCTCTCTTTTTTTTTTTTTAGAAGGTGCTGTAATTTGTTTTTACTTTAAGGGAAAGATAAGTAATTTCTTTGAGTTTTCCTTATAGCTTGTTGTTCTATCTTGATTGTATGGGTCAAGTTTTTAAATTTCTCTGGAATATATTTTCTTTGTCAACAGCTAAAGAAAGAAGGAAGGAGGAACGAGTATGAGATGCATAAGCTGTTAGCCTTGAATCAGAGGCAAAAGATGGTAAACTGATTTTCAGCTAGATTTCATACACATTGAATTTCTAAAGGTAGAAAATTATACACGTTGGTCTCTGTATGTTGTCAGGTCCTTCAACGAAAAACTGAGGAAGCTTCTATGGCTACAAAACGGCTAAAAGATTTATTGGAATCTCGAAGATCTGCATCACGTGAAGCATCTGGTTAGGATATCTTCTGTTGGTGCTGCTATGTTCGTGTTCGGTTTGTAAATTTGCTATTCAATTGATTTTCTTTGTTTCTATGCAGCTGGAAATAGCAATGGTCCTGGAATTCAGGTATCAATAACTGAACTGAAATGATTTAGTTTTTTCATTTGTGTTTTTATTCATTAGTATGTAGTTTCTGTAATATAACTTGTGGTTTTGGACGGCCTTTGGATGGATATTGGAAAAACAGTTGTGTGTAGATTGATCTTTGGTGAATAAAGGCTTGCTAGTTTATATTTTTATTCTATGATTTCTAACTCCTGATATCTTTCTATTGAAAGGCACTTATGCAGGCAATTGAGCACGAGCTTGAAGTCACTGTACGGGTACATGAAGTGCGCTTGGAGTATGAGCGCCAAATGGAAGAGTGAGTACCATTTTCTTTTCATTTATGAGGAACTCTTTCTTTCTCTTCTCCATTTTTAGGGCATTATAGCTATATTGAAGCTTCAGTAATGAAGTATTGGTTTTATTTGATTATGTTTACTTTTGTATTGCTTATATTGGCCCATGATGATACCAGTTTAAATCTAGCACCTTAGTTGTTAAATTGCGATGAGTTGGACAAGATTGGGAATTTGGACGAAATCCAGATTATCATAGCTAGTGTTAAAGTACTCTTTGCTGTGAAAAAAACGTGGCCTTAGCAAACCACATTAAGTGCACTCAAAACTATTGATAATTTTTTTGGTATTTTATTTGTGTCCTCATTTATGGATAATGTTTTGTATTTAGCTTGTATTTCACCTGGTAGTAATCGGTAAGTAGATAATTAAATAACAACCACTCTTTTGGCTTCTGCGGATGATAAGTTTGGGACATCTTAAAAAGAAAGGAAAGGAGGGAGCGTTAGGATATGGTGTGGCCTGAACAGAGCCTTGGGGAATTTTTTTGGCAACCAAGTGGGTTGGCAAGCCACTTTTGGTCGATTACCCGTCACAAACTAGTATATGAACCCTTTGAGCCTTTCCACTCACTGCCAATTCGATTTGGGTGTGATGTTTTATCACTATCAAGTCACGTAAGTTTCAAGTAAAATTCCTAAATTCAGTTTTGGCATTTCATTATTTGTTTTGAATATGAGAAGTCTAGCGTACATGATTAAAGACAATGATGCCTTAAACTTATAGTGATAAATGTTAAGAGTGTTTGTATCCCATATTGACTAATTAGGACTAGGTTAATTAATATACTTGCAGGGCCATTCCACCTATTGCCAATTAGTTTTAAGTTTGATGCTCTAACATGCTATCAAAACTAGGTCCTGGGCTGCTAGTGAAGCAAGTCTCTTGCCCATTGGAATTTCTTAGTATGCATGGTTGTTTATTTATTTGTTGACCTCATGTGCGGGTCCCACGTTATGGAGGGAGTTACGAGTGATTGTATCCCACATCGACTAATTAGGATCAGCAAGGTTAGTTTATATATTTGAGTGGCCACTCCACCCATTGACAATTGATTTTGGACTGGATGCTCAATAAAACATTGTGCATCACTTGTCAAAGTATGCTCTTGTTGGGTGCTAGTTTTGTTATGTTCATAAGCACTGGCTGAAGAGAAGTTATATGGGCTAAAGAGATGACATTTCAAGCGGCATTTCCTGCCCTCCTCTATGGAGAAGCCCAGGATTCAGGTTCTCCTAGGGACATGGAGTGGAGGTGGCTAGTGACTAAATTGGGTTGGAAAAAATAACAAGTACGAAAATTGAAGTAAATAGGTAGATAGAGGGGCTAAGACCATCTCTAATGGAAACTCAAATCCTTACCCAAATTTGAGTAAAAAAAATGGTAAAATGCTTGATTTGGTATAGACATCTCTAATGGAGAATCCCAAATTTAAATAAGGACAAACCCAAATTTAAAAGAGGGTAAAATATGCCCATTGGATCTTTAAGGGGGGTGAAATCTCACCATAAAGATTTGGGTATGAGTTTGAGTCTCCTTTAATTTGAACAAAAAATGATCCTCCTTTCATTTGATATGGAAAATAGGTCTAGTATTGAACAAAGTTTTTAGGAGTTCTTTACCCAAATTTAAATTTGGGTTTAGTTGTCTGGTCTAGTTGTCTTCTACTTGTAATCTTCCAACCGGATCGTGTGGATGACTATTTTAAAGTCACACATGTTTTGTAAAGTATCATATTTTTTTTTTGTTGCATAAATGCTACAAGTCAAAATTTCATCACTCATGTCAAACTTTTCTATTTTCATTCATCATTAAGTGTTTGTGTTTTTTTGCTCAAGTGGTTAAATTAATATAATTTGGAATTTCAGGAGGGCTAGAATGGCAAAGGAGGTTGCAGAGTTGAAGGAAGAATCACAGATTTTAAAGCAAAGAAATTTAAGGTCAGGAAAATTTGTTTCCGATTTTACTTGAGAGGATATTCTCTTTTTTTCCTTTAATAGTCACTCATTGTTTTGCCTCAATATGTTTGCATGGCTATCATTGGCACTTATCTTTATACATACCCTGCAGTGGTTGCCCTCAGAAAATGTCTCCCGGTGCAAGAAATTCAAGGCTTTTTGCGCTTGAAAACATGCTTGCTACTTCATCCAGCACTCTTGTTTCCATGGCATCACAGTTGTCAGAAGCAGAAGAGCATGAACGGGCCTTTAGTGGCAGAGGACGTTGGAATCAAGTTCGGTCTCTTGCTGAAGCAAAAAATATCATGAACTATCTATTTAACTTAGCATCCTCCTCCAGGTAATTATTGCTTTTGAAGTTAAAAGACCTGTCAACAAAAGGAAGGCCCCTTGTTGTTGCTTACCACCTTTTTGTTATCTATAATTTGGTTTTCCCCCGTTTTCTAAAGATGCCAGCTACGGGATAGAGAAGTTGACTGTAGAGAGAAGGATTCGGAAATAAGAGACCTGAAGGAAAAAGTATTCAATTTAGTTAGACAGCTGGAAATGCAGAAGGCTGAACTTATTCGTCAGGAGAAGTTGAAGGTTAGTACATTTTGTGTCACCCCTTGCTTTATTCCATCCATATTGTAGCAAATAATAATCAATAGATTTTAAAATTACTTCAATTCACTTCTTTAATAAGTTAAATTTATCAAAAAACCCTGTGGTTTGCTGCTGCTACAAATATGTGCTCTCTTCGAAATTATGATTTGAGATACCACGTGAATTGTTATGTATGTTCTTGTGCATACATATGCTGCCTCCCAATGGTGGCCTTCACACCTTTGAGTCATCCCTTTTCTCATCTGGTATCTTTTTCTGGTTTTCTGAGGGGTGTGAGATTGACTTTTTCCAAGCAGGCTGAGGAGGGGGCTTCCTCATCCGACCCTGCTTGTTTGCTTAGGGGTGTCTGCATGTACATAAAGCAGATGCAAATGCAATGACATTGTTCACTCTTATTACAAGTCTAGAAAACAAAAGTGGCCAACTGTATGTTGCCTCCACTACTGCAGGGTCTAGTGGGTGAGATGCTCCATTAGTTATTTATTCATGGCTTTTTGGCAATCCTTTTTAAAATTAATATCATCGTGTGTGTAGAAGTTGACCCCAACGAAGCACTCCAAGGAAAAGACCCAAAACTCTGAAGCTTATATGGTGAACAATGAGGATGGACATGTGTACGATCTGCGACACAAGGTAGTTCACGCCTTACAGGTGCACATACAACTATCACATTACAGCTGAGGTACTTTTCATCTTCTTTGGTAAATATTAGAAAATGTGGATTTACCTAATTTGACTCCAGGGATCCCAGAACTCCATAGTTTACAATGGAGAGAGTAATATTGAGATATTGGAAGACATGGATACAGCCGAATCAGAGCATTCTGACCTGAATGAAGCTGACGATGACTGTGAATGGGAACATTCTGAAGTTGAAGCAGCTGATGAAGATGGTGATTGGGTAACTCCACTAAAGGAGAGAAAAAGGCGCCAAGCTAAGAAAAAGAATTCCACCATTGAAAACCATTCAGGTACAGGATCCAATCCAGTCAATATCAGTGATATGGAGACTACAGGCGAGGCAGACAGCACTGTTACATGGAAAACTGCATCCGGAATTTGCTGCTCATGCAGCAAACAATCTTCATGCAAGACAAGGAAATGCGAATGTCGAGCTGCAGAGGGCTGTTGTGGGATGTCTTGTGGCTGTGAACCAACTAGATGCAGCAATAGAAATGCAGCTTCTACCACCGAGTTGGGTGGCTTGCAGCCATTGGAACTAGCTGAAGGCACCGGTAATTTTTCAGGCACCGATCAAACAGATAGGAGCCATATTCTTGCTTCTCATGGTGCAATGCTACTTGAGAGTGCACTTTCCGAGAAGCCTGCTGGGACAAATGATGAGAGCGGGGCTAGAAGAAAGCCTTTGTCTGACATTGGAAATACACTGGTATGCTTTGTAAGTTTGTTTCAAGAGTTCACTTTATATGATGCCTTTTTGTGTTCCATGTGCAAATTATTTCTGAGCCTTCATTTGTTCGCGGGGTTTCTATTAACCGTGGCAATGTATAAATCTATACTTAGCTTCATTTTACACAGCATATTCTCCCCCCACACTAACGAGATATTTTACTCCCACAGGGTAAATCAAATGTGCCAAAGCCTAATCAGAGGAAAAAATGGCGGAAGTCAGTTATTCAGCTAGTTCCCGCTGCCCCACCACCTTCTCAGACAGAAATTGTTCCTGTGGCCCCACCTTCCTCTCAGACAGAAAACACTGAGGGGCCAAAGAAATCAGAGAGCATCAGCATTGAAGCCAACATCCCATTGAAATTGCCTAGAGCAATGCGATCTGCATTCTCGAGTACCAATCCATTGAAAGAAAGGAACTCTAACCAGCCCAATGATTCTACACTTCACAAGGAATCTGGTGCTCCAGCTCCCAGAAGTCCTCAGCGTCATGAAAGAACGACAGATGAGAAAGAAAACCATGGCCTTTAAGCTATTGTCCGATAAACCTGCATTGTTGTACAAGGTTTCACGACAAGTGTTGGTANAAAGAACGACAGATGAGAAAGAAAACCATGGCCTTTAAGCTATTGTCCGATAAACCTGCATTGTTGTACAAGGTTTCACGTTTATTGCATATTTCTGATTTTATTTTTTTGGATTGATTTCATTGGAATCTCACGTAGGGAAGGTACTATCATGCCTGGTAAGGATATATTGATCCTCCATTGTTCAGGACTCTCTGATCATCCAGCAGGCTGGTAGCTCGTTTTACTGTAATTTAACGAATCAGAGTTGTCTGTCTGCAGCATTTTGTTTTAATGCTGTTCTGTAGTCCTATGCTTTGATCTAAAACTTCAATGCAATTGTTTTTTACTGGATGGTTAGTGTTGGATTTCTGCCAATCACTCTTACTGTGTTGAATATTTACTAGTTTGCGACGATGCTTTGTGAAAAGCCATTAATTAGTTTGGGGGGAAAAAAAAAAAGGAATTAAAGACCTTACAAGTAAGGNTCTGTAGTCCTATGCTTTGATCTAAAACTTCAATGCAATTGTTTTTTACTGGATGGTAAGTGTTGGATTTCTGCCAATCACTCTTACTGTGTTGAATATTTACTAGTTTGCGACGATGCTTCGTGAAAAGCCATTAATTAGTTTGGGGAAAAAAAAAAAAAGGAATTAAAGACCTTACAAGTAAGAAAAACCATTAGGTTGTGGAGTTTATTTCAAAACAATCATTCAATCTAGTTGTATATGTTGATGGGATATATTTGAAGAGAGTTACATATTCATTCAATAACTATAGGCTCCTTTAATAAAAAAATGTATGGTCAGAGTAAAATGATGGTAAAGTATAAATTAAGTACAAAAGAATTAAACATGAAACTTTTTCAGGAAAAAAGAAATTCTAGTAGGGAATGAATCTCGAAGTAGTTTGTCATAATAAAAATAATGCCTCAATATTAGTGGAAAAACGATGAGTAACTGCTAGAGGAGGTATTGACAACAGAGAGGGTGGTGGTGGTGGGATGGTGGCAATGATGTGTGTAGGGTAGTGGTAGTGCTTATAAAATGATAGTGGTAAGGATAAAAAAATGGTGACCAGATAGTTAAAGAAAATGTTAAAATTAAAAAAAAAAAAAATACTATTTCCTCATTTCATTTGTCAAATAGTTTGAATTTCATTTGTCATTTTGGGTCGGGTCTCCTCTTAATGTCCATTAATTAAATTTCTAATATCATTGGACTTGGTCTAATATTTTCCAGCTCAGTTAATTGAAATAAATTGCAACTAGGCCTAAGATTGCGCATAAAATTCTCAATTGAAGCCCCAAAAACATGTTCATCGGATGTGTATTCAACTCGAACCCATTATATTTTATTATACTATACAATAATTAAATTACGGATGGGAGGCCTTGAGAAAGTTTTTCTCCCTAATACTAAATTACTAGAGTTTTTAAATATTTAATTAGTTAACTCCAATTAAAACATTACATTTGTTCTTTGTAATCACTCTCACAATTTTTTTTAAAACTTTCAATCTTCTTTTTTAATTATTTAAAATATAAATAAAATATCATTTTAACACTAATATGAATTGTCCAATGATAAATAGTTCTGAAGGGTTTGATTATAAAATTATGATAAAAAAAGTTAATAAATTCTGTGTATTGCACGGGATATCCATTAAAATATATATATACATATATTTATCTATTCGAGGATGTCACAAAATAATATTAGTGATGAAGAAAGAGAAATAAAAAAGATAATGATCTATTCCACATTGTTGGACTTATTAAAATATACACAATAAGTATCATACATTGTCCCAATCAAACTATAACCTGCCAAGTGCACTACCGCTAGTCAATGAAAGGTATCAATCATTCCCATCAATGATTATATGAAGAAGCTGATAAGAATTACTTGTCCATTCATTGCTCTAGGGGGTTTTCAATTTTAATATATTAATTAATAAAATAAATATATGGACCTTCCATTTGGTGGAAGACTGGAAAGCCCACCAACATGCTTTTTGTCCTTGTCTTCTTGGCTTTGTGCTCATCAAGTGGCTGATGAAGAAGTCAAACTCCACCAGCTCCAATATTATAGAAATTAGGTTAATGGGAAAATTCTACGGTACCAAAAAAGTTTATTATCGGTTATTCAAACAATTTCAAACAATTTACTTTCGAGATATTTACTTTATCATTTGAGCCGTCCCTAACTATTGATATCGAGATCTTTTATTCAAACAATTTCCATGTTGCNACCTTCCATTTGGTGGAAGACTGGAAAGCCCACCAACATGCTTTTTGTCCTTGTCTTGGCTTTGTTCTCATCAATTGGCTGATGAAGAAGTCAAACTCCACCAGCTCCAATATTATAGAAATTAGGTTAATGGGAAAATTCTACGGCACCAAAAAAGTTTATTATCGGTTATTATTTTTTATATGTAAAATTATAATTTTGAAAAGAGAAATTAGGTCATGATCGATCACAGATACCCGTGATCGATCATGAAAATCTCAATCTCAATCTCAATCTCAATCCCAACCTGTTATAATTGATCATATCATTTAAAATTATCACTTACATTTTAAAAAATTTTATATGGTATTATACAAGTATAATTAAGAATCGTCCTAATCATATATTTCTTTAAGATCACAAACGCTATATAAATTTATTTGTATACAAATAAGACTATCGTTCCAATCGGCACACGTCTTTTGCAAAACTTAAAAGAACTTCCATCAAAATTACTCCCACCAGCTTTTAAATGTGCGTGCTTAATTGAAATCATCCCCATCAAGTTTCTTTACTTTAGGGAGGGTTGCGTTTCAAATTCTAGATTCATACCATCATTCATAAATTGTGTTCACCGAGCTTATCAAAATTTAGAATAATATTCTCGAGATATTTACTTGATCATTTGAGCCGTCCCTAACTATTGATATCGAGATCTTTTATTCAAACAATTTCCATGTTGCTATGCAAATGCAGTGTACTGTGAAAAATTTAATGGAAACTGATTGATGATAAGCTTAGTAGATTTTTTTTAGATGGGTGGTATTTGTTTCTTTATAGTCTTGTCGGCATAATAATAACAACAATAATCACATCTTCTATGCTGTACAATGGAATGTAACAAGAAACTTACCTCGGCCACTTTGTTTGAACTTTTGAGTCAAAGGTAAGATTAGTAATGCAGCCACCACAGTAAATAAGATGGCTTTGGTTCATCATACAAAGAACTTAGTACACATCATTGCCAAAGACACTAATGCGTTATTCGACGGGAGGATGGAAAGTAGGAAAGATGTAAAATAGAAATAATATATTTTCTATCTTTTAAGGGTAAAAAGTAGAAATTATATATTTTCCTTCCTTTGTGTTTGGTTGAATGGATGAAAAATAAAAATAATTTTTTTTTTTTGTGCTAACAATAGAGTCGAGTCGTGTCGTGTCAGATTCGTGTTAAGTAATTATGAATTCGTGTCGAATATTAGTCAAATCTAACTTAACTCATTTAACTAATTGTGTTGTGTCGAGTTGCGAGTTGACCTATTTATTTTAAAATTTTTATTATTATTATTATTTTTTATTTTTTTAAAATNCTAATTGTGTTGTGTCGAGTTGCGAGTTGACCTATTTATTTTAAAATTTTTATTATTTTTAATTTTTTTAAAATTTTATTAAAATATATATACATATTTTACCATTGTATTTTTATATGAAATTAATGTATACATAAGATATATAGACAAATAAGATACATCTTAACACAAATAATTAACTTTCTATCTACTTTCCTTCCGATTTTGGAGGGATTGATTTTTGTGAGTTAGAAGGAAAGTTAATTCATCCACTTTTTCATCTTTCCTTATCAAATAAGATGTTTTATTTATCCCTCCAATTTTTTATTTTCCCACTTTTTCATCGTACCAAACAGAACATAAAGCCTAAAGTCATCGAAGAGTAAAATCAAGAACAGCGTCTTATTTGCTAAGCCATTCTTTTTTGTTTATTTTGCACATTTTTTTTTCAACTTAATTTACAAATGAAGTAACAAGTCTTCAAACTTACTTATAATTATCTAATTAAATTTCTGGTCACCGGCGTAAGGATTAAAGATGATAACACCAAGGCACAAGAACTTGTCATGACAAAAATTAAAAATCAAAAAATCATTTTTATTATCTCTCGAACTTGGTTGTTGATTTAAAATTAAAAATTAGAGAGGAGGTATAAAGTGAAAATTTTAAAATTTTCAAAAATAAAAAAAAATGAGAGAAAAGTCCATTGGGGAACCGCGGGGGGGAGGGGTTGTTTTTAATTATACCCAAATTGGAATTACCCACCAAGTGGCGAAATTACTTGCACCACCCAAATGGCTGACCGCTGATATAGCCACGTCATCGAATCCAGAAACCCTGGCCCCACTCCCACCGAAAATCGAGAAACCCTAACCTGGCAATCATTTTCCTAAGTAGTCCCTCCCTTATCCAATCAAATCCACACAATTACTACATTTATGACACTATTGCCCTTATAGTCAAACACAGAGAGTCAAGATTCTCTTCTGTACAAGCATTGGAAGCGAGGATTCCTATATCTTCCCCTGTACCCAATTGCAGATGATAGTAGCTCCTTTTACGTACACATTNTTCCTAAGTAGTCCCTCCCTTATCCAATCAAATCCACACAATTACTACATTTATGACACTATTGCCCTTATAGTCAAACACAGAGAGTCAAGATTCTCTTCTGTACAAGCATTGGAAGCGAGGATTCCTATATCTTCCCCTGTACCCAATTGCAGACGATAGTAGCTCCTTTTACGTACACATTTTTTTTATTCATTGAATCTGCTGCTGGTGAATCATTGGAGGAAAAGAGCTAGAGATAGAGTATAAGAAAGGATCACACAAGGCTTCCGACGTACAAGAAACTCCTCCTCTCCCCTCTCCCCTCTCCGCTCTCCCCTCTCCCTCAAACGACTTTCTCTCTCTAAACGACTTTCTTGAGACCCAGCACTAGGGTTCGAATTTGATGAACATTCCGATTATAACGAATCGCTGCTAATCTATAGTTTTGCTTCAAAAAGGTATATGAATCTATAACTGAATATATTCTCTCTTTCAATTCGTTTTGCTTTGAATGTTCGGTTAATATTCCAAGTTTGAGAGAGAAGGCAAGTATCTGTGTTCATTGGATTTGAACATTCAAAGGTTAATCTATGTTTCTGTATGTTATCAAAACCAAGTTTACAAAGATGGAATCTTTGAATAGTTTGTAGCTTGGTTAGGTTGAAAAATGAAACTTCTACAGTTCGATTTTTGGTTCAGTAATCCAGTACTTTTTGGTGTAAATCATTTAGATCTTATTATTTACAAATATGATACATTAATTTGGGTTGAAATTAGATCTATTTCTGGCAAACATGTGTTGTTTATTTATTGAAGACCAGCTAAAAGTCTTGGGTCAAATTTGGGTTCTTTTGTATTGACCCAAATATAGGTTTTGTCTTAGCTGTCAATTTTTTTTCTTCATAATTAATATGTCGGTGCACCATTGTTTGCTGAGAGAAACTTAGGAGAAATAAAGATCCATTCTCAAGTTCTAAATACAATGTATTTGTCCCAGATTTGGGTTGTTTTCTCTTTATTTAGCTGCCAATATTAATTTTCTTCACAATGGATATCATGCAACTTGTTTGGTTTCTGAGAAGAAAATAAGGTTGAATTTTGGCTGTAGTGACTGGTTTTTGGTTTCCAGGACTGCAAAAAAAAAAAACATTTCATGTCAACTGTGTTGTTTGGAGGACTTGTAGGCCCAATTGAAAGGAGAATAGTGTGAAATACTATCAACTTGATTTTCCTCAGCAACCAAGCAGACCCTTTTTTTTTGCTACCCTCATATCTGTTGTGGGATTGGTTTTGTGATAAGATTACTTTTGTTGTTGTTGTTTGGATCCGTATTTTTTTAATTCTTCAGTCAGGGTGATTAATTTTCTTTTTTTAGTTGTTTTCAACAGGCAGAATCTAGCAATCGAGTCTTTTGTTTCAGCTCTAAAATCTTGGGCCACAAATACATTGTATTTGTCTGCATTTTCTGTTTTGAATCCTAAATCCAGAAATTCAGTTCTGTTGAGGGTGGTACCATTTTTGGGTGTTGTTAGAGATGGCTGTGGCTTTTACCAATCTGTCTTGGTGGTTGTGGAGTGGAAAGCATCAAGAGGCTAAAATGTCCAGTGGATCTTCTTTAAATACTTCACCTGATTCGGGCCTGTGGGAATTGGACAGCGTGAAATTTCCATTGGTTCATAATAGGAATATGACCTCCTCATCTAGACGGGTTAAGCGAAAATGGCATAGTCGGGAGGAGCGAAAAATTGACAGGGAATATGATGTTGTTTTGGTGCCATCAGATGGTGGATGTGTTTCGGGGTCTGAGTCCGATGATTCAGATTGGTCAATAGGATGGTTGGAGCCTCATGGCCCTGATTTCCAGAGTGATGATGATTTAGATGATAGTTTTGCTGTACTGGTTCCTTGCTATGGGCGTATTCGCGAGGATCTGGAAGACAATTTAAAGGACAAGTTTTTGGAGAAGGTTGGGAACATCCCTGACATATATGCTGCTGGTAAGAATCAAGTTCAACAAAATTTAGTCCCTTAATTTTACTTATTTATTCAATTTTCAGTTTCCTTTTTGCCATTTCTTTGCTGGTATCAACATTTTGAATCCTGCTGTATACCTATATGAGGATGAGTAAATTCCAGTTCAACTAATAGTTCTGCAGTTAGACATATGCAGCTAATCGAACCAGTAGGTAATCAGATGTAAGGGAGAATCTTAAATGCAGCTTGAAGTAGCACAAGATGCTTTTAGAGGATCAATGATTCTACTTGAGTGCTATAATGGAACTAAGATTTTCCCTTCTATTATATTAATGTTACCAAAAATGTATTGTTTCTCTCAATTGTAATTAAAGCATGTAAGATGGGAGAAGTTTCTCTATGCTGCAACCACAGGTTTCAGAAACTTCATGGTCCAACATAAAATTCCTCAGATAATCCCTTTTTTAGGAGATCTGGATATCTAGGGATATCTGAATGGTCTTGGTGTTGACTGATTCGTAGTCTTTTCTGGGTGTGTATCCCTGAAACACTCGAGATCTCAAACCTGTACAAGCTATGATCCCTGTACTCATCTATTGAGTTTTGAGCAGTTTGAATTGTTCCCTAAGCTGACAAAATGCTTTATGTGTATTTGAGTCCTAGAGTTATCACTGGCCTTGTTGAATTTTAAGATAGTTTGTTCTGCTCATTTTTAGTTTTAAAAGTATTTGGCTGCAAAACTCATAAAAGACTTGAAAGAAATGTGCTGATAGCCAAGCAAACGCGACATTCTTTTTTTTCTAGTTTTTTCTTATACCATCTTGGAGTCCTAGCTTATTTTCAGCCCATCTCCCACCTTTCTTGAGTTTCTCCCTTCGTTCTTCATGTCCGAGAGACTGAAGAAGAAACTTGTCGTGTCAAGTCTGGATAGCAGTATGCTTCATTAATCATTAATCTCTCTGCTTCCACTGTACATCCAATGCAATTTTTAGTGTAGTCCTATAGCTTTTGCTTGAGCACCTTTGTCATTTTTTCCGGATTTATTATGATCAGATGTAATCAATAACTTAATTTGGCTTGATGCTTCATGATGTTCAAAACCACTGTANCCACTGTACATCCAATGCAATTTTTAGTGTAGTCCTATAGCTTTTGCTTGAGCACCTGTGTCATTTTTTCCGGATTTATTATGATCAGATGTAATCAATAACTTAATTTGGCTTGATGCTTCATGATGTTCAAAACCACTGTAGCAAGAATGCTAGTTTGTTCAAAGTGTCCCTATTGCTTGATCTATGGTGAGAACCGAGTTAAGACACCTTCCTTTCTTCGGAAGGTGAATTGACTTACCTTCACTTTTGCATCAAACACAAGTCTAAAATTGATGGGTTGAAAAAGAAATGGAGTGGGAGAAGAGGGATTTTTTAAGAGGTACTCTTTCTCATTGTGTGGGTGGGAAAGGAGATTTTTGAGGTGGTAATAGCCCCACACAATAAAAAACACTAAGACAGATCCTCCAAAGACAGAAATGTCTGAGACATCAATCNATTGTGTGGGTGGGAAAGGAGATTTTTGAGGTGGTAATAGCCCCACACAATAAAAAAAGCTAAGACAGATCCTCCAAAGACAGAAATGTCTGAGACATCAATCCTCATAGAGATCACAAAGCTGTCTTCATGGGTACGGAGGATCTAACACAAATTATGGCATCTCAGAAAGCCATTGCTCTGTCTCACTCAGCTCTTGGCTCGCTATGGTGCCTACACATATCTATACAAAATTACAAAAAAAAACACTAAAACACAAGTACTTCCTTGTGCGTTTAACTAGTTCTAGAACAATAAAAAAGCTGTTTTTTGTTTGGTGTTATTTCTGTCCCCTTTACTTTAAAGTTANTCAGCTCTTGGCTCGCTATGGTGCCTACACATATCTATACAAAATTACAAAAAAAAAAACTAAAACACAAGTACTTCCTTGTGCGTTTAACTAGTTCTAGAACAATAAAAAAGATGTTTTTTGTTTGGTGTTATTTCTGTCCCCTTTACTTTAAAGTTACTTTATTTTATTGTATTTTTTATAATTTGATGAAAACTATATTATATTTTTCCCCTTTTATTTTCCCTTCTTTTTGTTGTTTTCCCTCTTTTCCTAGCTAAAACTGCATTTTATATTTGTCTAAAATATTTGGCTCTGCAACAATTAAAAATTCTTTTGGAACAAAAAGTAATACATTCTTTCCCAAAAGAAATCTGTGGTATCTTATTTACACTAATTTGCCTTCACTTGGAGATTATTTAATGCTTACCCTCAAACTCTTCTCTTCGTTTCACTACTCCTGATATGCTTTATTCTGCTTGTCAGATGTGGATTCTTATCAACTATCCAAATGTGTAACCCTCAAGAACAAGATAAAAAGACTAGTTTTCAATGCTTTATTTCCATATTTTTTAGGATTTTATCTGTTCCACAGTTAGTTAAGAAAAAAAGTTTGAAACATTTTAACGACAATCAAACATCAAGTCATCAGTGGAAGTGATTTACTAATACCTTATCTTTAGTGCCCTGCAAATTCTGAGCCTAAGAATTAGACTCATTTTTCTGTTCTTATCAGCATTACTATCTTTTATGCTTGGAGGATACATATTGTAAACTTGTAGAGTGTGGCCGGTACATAGGAATGGCACTGCATGTGATGGGATCATATGAAGGATATCCTTCATTCTTGAGGTATTATCGTCACTTAGCCATTACTGTAGAACATTTTGCCACGCCACGCCAATTGATTTGATTGCTTGTTATAGTTTTTTCATGGTTATTGATAATTTCCTAAAAGTTGATCCTGGTACAAATGTGTGAAGCTAATGATGAGACCATGGAAACTGGGAAATAGGCATGTCATTTGTCTATATTCACCCTCCTCCTCCTGCTGCTGCTGTTGTGAATGCATCTCTTGTAAATGTATAAATTTGATAGAATGAAGGTTGCAAATTGGCATTATGTTTTTCTTAGTTCTGAGAATGGTANCCTCCTGCTGCTGCTGTTGTGAATGCATCTCTTGTAAATGTATAAATTTGATAGAATAAAGTTGCAAATTGGCATTATGTTTTTCTTAGTTTTGAGAATGGTNAATGCATCTCTTGTAAATGTATAAATTTGATAGAATGAAGGTTGCAAATTGGCATTATGTTTTTCTTAGTTCTGAGAATGGTAATACTTTGTTAAGTTGTTTTCTTTGTTTTTAATTTAATGTGCAGAGAGCAAGAAGTATATGGAACAATGGCTCACTTCTCTACAAAACAGCTGACATCCAGGAGCGCCTAGAGTCGCTTATTTATCTTTGTCATTCTACTCGTGCTGCTTCTTAGTAGACGGGAAGAACTTGTTACTGTAACCAACTGGAAGAAAAAAATAAAAAAAAAAATAAANTCTTAGTAGACGGGAAGAACTTGTTACTGTAACCAACTGGAAGAAAAAAATAAAAAATAAAAATAAAAATAAAAAATGAAAAAGAAAAAGAAACCAAAGAGATTGTATAAAAGACAGAAGATGGAGAAATGAGCTGCATACTCACTTTGTGTTAAAGTTGCTAGTAGAAGAAGATTGGCTTATATTGGGGATTGAATTTACTAGTTTATAAGGAGAAACAGCTGAGGATTGAGGTGTGATAGTGCTCTTATGCTTTTTCTTATTTTTTTTTTTTTTGTGGAAAAATCAACAAAAAAAAAAGAAGAGGAGGAATAGGCTCTTAATTCTGGGAGATCATATGCTTACTTGTTTATTTGATAGTGTTGGCCAGGAAGGAGTGGATTCTGGTGGTCTCCAACAAGTAGTGTGTGAGTAGTTGTGTGTGTGTTTTGATATCNAATCAACCAAAAAAAAAAGAAGAGGAGGAATAGGCTCTTAATTCTGGGAGATCATATGCTTACTTGTTTATTTGATAGTGTTGGCCAGGAAGGAGTGGATGCTGGTGGTCTCCAACAAGTAGTGTGTGAGTAGTTGTGTGTGTGTTTTGATATGTTTGATGTAAATATGGCTGTACATATGATAAGTAGGCCCATGGTTATAACAGGTCTCTCTGTAAATAAATCTAATACCCGGAGTGGAAATAGGAAAAGGAAAAAAAAAAAGAAAAAAAGGGAAAATATTACTGTAGAAAACTGGACAGTATATTCTATTATTGTTGGTGTAAATAGTCCCTCTGCTGTTAAATAAGCTACACCNGAAATGCTTTTTGTACCAAATGTATTGATTTTATTTGGTGATATAATGGAACATAATCATTGACTTAGTAGTGGGTCTTAACTGATGATAGGTCTCAACTAATGACAAAAAATTATAAAATCAGCAACTAAGATTATTAAATAAGGTCTATGTGGTGTTGCCCGACTTGGTACTTGGAACTTTGAAGAAGAGTAACGCAGAAGACTAATCCTCCCAGATTTTCTCACTTCAAGGAAAAGCCATTAGACTTTACTCCCCGAANCAGATTTTCTCACTTCAAGGAAAAGCCATTAGACTTTACTCCCCGATTCATAAAAGATTATGAGAAAATAAGTTTTGCCTTGACATTATGCCCCCCCAAAAAAGGCAAACTCAAGCCATTGCCATGCAATTTTTTTAGGGAGAATTGAAAACCATTCAGATAATATAAATTATTGATAATTGGTTTAGACTCTCACCAACATATTTCTTCAGTGGTAAATCACTCTACATGTACTAACGAGAAACCCACATATATAAATAATGGGTATGGGATAAGATCCAAATCCGTAACATTTATACTAATCATAACTCGTGCCTAAAAGTACGATACAATGTAAAGTCTAAGTGTCCAAAAAATTGATATTAATATATCAAATAACAATTTTTCTTTATTTTCTTTATTTTTTTTAAAAAAAAATTTGACAAAATTAACTCAACATATGATCTCAAAAAAATATCAATACGTATACACTATCGTATATAAATAATGTTTGAAATTAAAATTGTATGCTAAAAATGAGTAATGTGATATAAATAAATAGAAAAAATATATAAAGATAAAATTCAAACTTCTAACTCTTTATTCTATAGATGTAAACATACTAAAATTACCCCCCCTTAGAATATCGTGAGAATTGTAGGTACATTAGACTATGATACCAAAATAATGAAAGAAGGGTGCAGAGCACAGAAGACTTGGATGCCTTATATTCTCATAAACCAACATGGCAGTGTCAGGAGTTGCCAATTGGACAAACAGTTTGTTTTTGGCTTCCTATATTTGTGCTTTTCAACAGATCCAAAATGCTTGGGCGAAGTCCATTTCCAGCCAATATCAACCATCTTCTCACAAGAATGGATCTTTGCTCATCAAAATCTTCTTCATTCCTTGGCCTTTTTTTGGTGTAATGGCTTCCAAGTGTTCTGCTATTTCTGAGAAAGAAGAGGCAAAATGTGTCAAGTCTTTGATACATAGAAAATACTAGAGAGAGAGAGAGAGAGAATGTTGCACAGAGCGGCAAGGAATGCATATTCATGGTGGTGGGCTAGCCATATCAGGACAAAGCAATCAAAATGGCTGGATCAAAGCCTCCGAGGTACCTATTCTGATCATTTAAATTGAATGTCATTCAATTGATTACAAGATGGTATTTCCATGTTCTGACATTACTTCTTTTCTCTGTTTTTTTTAAACATATTTTCTAGGAAAAATGTCAGAAAATATTTCTTTTTCCCTCCATTTTCTGTCATTTATTGGGTATAGGTTTTCTTCCATTTCAATAGCAATCACACAACTTTTGTCTTGAAATATATGTCCTGGCCATATTGAGGTGCCACAAGATTTTAAGTTGATAGACATTAACTTCAGCAAAAGGAAAATAACAAAAAGCTCGAATATTGTTGAGCAGAGTTAAAACAATCATGAAAAAAGGAAGAAATTTTCGTAATGTATTTGAACAACTAGAAAATCAGTTCATCGAATAGCATCACAGTATAGAGTTATTATCTCATAAATCATTAACAAATGTGATAATTCATGTTCATTGCAAAACCACAGACATGGAGGAGAAGGTGGAATACATACTCAAGATCATCAACGAGGATGGAGACTCCTTTGCAAAGAGGGCAGAAATGTATTACAAGAAGAGGCCAGAGTTAGTGAACTTTGTGGAAGATTCTTTTCGGGGATATAGAGCTTTAGCAGAGAGATATGATCATCTATCAAGAGAGCTGCAGAGCGCCAACAAGACAATAGCAACTGTTTACCCTGAAAGAGTTCAACTATCAATGGATGATGATGATGATGATCAAAATTTCCCAACAACATCCAATTCTTTCCTTGATGCCAACAAGCCATCCAAAGGTTTGCCGGTGGCTCCAAAGTTAAACATCCCGAAACTTCCCACTGTTCCAAAGAAAAATTCCAGGAGCCCATCCAGATTAATGTCAAAGAAGGGGCTGCTCAAAATAAATGCTACTGATGCCGCTGCAGCTACTGCAAGTTCAGGGCTGAGCAAAGCTGAGGCAGTCAAGGAACTTGACAAGCTTCAAAAGGATATTTTAGCACTTCAGACAGAAAATGAGTTTGTGAAGAGCTCATATGAAAGTCGGCTAGCAAAGTACTGGGAAATTGAAAATCAGGTTACTGAAATGCAAGCAAAAGTTAGCAGCTTACAAGATGAGTTTGGTATTGGCAAAGTTATCGAGGATGATGAAGCTCGAACCTTGATGGCATCCACAGCTCTAAAATCATGCCTAGATACTTTGGTTAGTTTACAAGAAAAACAGGAGCAATCAACTGAAGAGGCAAGATTAGAGTGCCGAAGAATTCAGGACGTCCAAGAACAGTTCAAGACACTAAAAGAACAACTAATCAGCAACAAGACGCATGGACAAGACATCTCTCAAGAATACGTATCAGGTAGTGCAAGTCAGGAATTGAAGAACTTAGAACAACAAGTGGACAGTATAGAACAAGAGAGGCATGATTTGAAAATGTTGCGCTCAGAGATTAAAAAGCAATTGCAAGTAAATGCAGATAAATCTCCTACCATGTCCGAACTGGCAGAAAAAATCGATGAACTCATTGATAAGGTCATTCTTTTGGAAATCGCAGTATTTTCTCAGAATGCTCTGGTCAAGAGATTAAGGTCAGAAACAAGTGAGCTTCAGGCACACGTTCAGAGGCTAGGAGCTGATAAGGAGACTCAGATAGAGGATTCAGACAGCATGATCAACAAGATGAGAGAGTTGGAAGAAGAATTGAACAAGGTTCAAAGCCTCAACCAGAGCATCAAATACCAAAACAAGAACCTCCAAATTCATTTCACTGAAGCCAGTTTAAATGTTGATCATCTCTCTGAGGAATTGACAAGTGTGAAGCCAGATGAGAATCCAGACAAAGTTGGAGAAATGCCCAAACCTGTGCAAACTGAAGAGGAGAAAAAAGACGATACTGTGAAGCAAAGAACATCCACCAAATATGAGGAGCAGGAATACTTCGTACATTCCAACTCTAGCAACCACATCGTAGATCTTTCACAAGTAGGTCAAGTGAGAGATGTTCCAGATGCAAATTCTAAAGGATTCAATAGACAGGACATGAATATGGCTCCTGGTCATAATTCAGTGATCTTAAAAGATGTGAGGGAGGATGGGGAAGTGAAGAAAGATGACGTTGCAGATCAAGACTCTTCTATCAAAGCTGAAGAAACAGATTATGGGGAGTCCTACCAAAGCAATGAACTTTGGCTAAAAGGCCAAGCTAGAGCTGCTCCAGATGCCAAGCCCCAAAACAAAATGAAACGAAGTGATGATATGATGATTGCCGTTGACAATTCAGTGATCTTAAAACTGGGAGAGGAAGTGGGGGAAGATAACGTTCAAGAGCACAGTATTTCTGTCAAAACTGGAAAACAAAACTTCTCTCAGATCAACCCAAGGACACACTCTGATACTATGTCAAGAGTGATGATTTTTAAGAATGATATGACAATGGAAGGGGAAAAGAATGTCAGCTTCCCAATTTGCAGTGCTGTGAAAGCAGACGATTATCTTTCAGGAAATGTTCAAGAGAAAGCTGTTTCAGGTACCACTCCACAAAAGGGCATTCAGTTTGGTAATATAACAGCGATCACAAGACATATGGAAACAGAAGAGGAACGAAAAATAGATGGCTTTCCAGATAAAAATATTTCTGTCAAAGCAAAAGAAGATGAAAACTATGCTCAATCCAACCCAATTATCAATCTTGATGACATATCATGGGAAATTCAAGAGCCCAAGGCACAAGAGAAAGATGAGAAGCAAGATTTGTTTGAGACAGTACACAGTGATCTCAATATAGGGCCACAGGAACTTGCTGGAGAGGAGGATGATCAGCCAAATTGGAGACTGCTGTTTTTGAATGGGTTAGAAGACAGAGAGAAGATTATACTGGAAGAATACACCTCAGTTCTTAGGAATTACAAGGAAGTAAAGAAGAAGCTCAGTGAAGCAGAGAAGAAAAAGCGGGCCAGTCTTTTTCAATCGGTGATACAGATAAAAGTTCTGAGGAATGCTAATGCTGTGAAGGATGCAGAGATTCAATCTCTAAATGAAAAACTAATCTTGTTTAAATCAAAGCTAGAAGAAACTCCTGATGTTGATGAAGGCGTAACCACAACTGGCTTTCATGTTTCTGATATTTCCTCACCAAGTTCAGATCAAAAGGCAGTTTGTGACTTGTTAGAAGAGCATGTTAAATCCTCAGACAGGACAGAAGAAACAACTGTACGAGAAGATGAGAAAATCTCCCACATTGAAGAGCCAGAAGGTAATATCAATTTAGCATCTGTTAGTGTACCTCATGCTGTTTCCATTATTGAGGAAAAAATTCGCACGGACATTGATGACCTGCTAGAGGAAAACATAGAGTTCTGGCTGAGATTTAGCACCTCGTTCCATCAAATACAAAAATTTCAAACTTCAGTCCAGGATTTACAAGAAGAGCTAGTGAAACTGAAGGAACACAAGAAGCAAGATGGAATTACTAAACACCAGTCAGATGTCCGCCCAATATACAGGCACCTAAGAGAGATACAGACTGAATTAACATTGTGGTTGGAACATAATTCAGTATTAAAAGATGATTTGCATAACAGATTATCATCTCTGTCCACTATTCAAGAAGAGATATCAAGCTTCTCAAGGGCCGGCTCTAAAGCGGAAGATACAGAGCTCAGTGACTACCAGGCAGCAAAGTTTCAAGGCGAGGTTCTGAACATGAAACAGGAGAACAACAAAATTGCAGATGAATTACTAGTGGGCCTTGAGCGTGTGAAAGTATTCCAAGTTGAAATTAAGAGGACTTTAGCACAGCTGGATGAAGAACTTGAAATTTCCACGAAGAACAATCAAACAAAGAACTCTTCAAGCCGGTCAAGAATTCCCTTGAGGTCTTTCCTGTTTGGGGTTAAGCTAAAAAGGCAGAAGCCATCAATCTTTGCATGCATAAGTCCAGCATTGCAGAAACAGTACAGTGATCTAACATCATTACCAATATAGATTGTCATTAGTTCCCTCTTAGTAAAAAATAGCAACTGCAAATTTTCCTGGTGGATGCAAATTCTCCATAAAAATCCACACCACTTGTTCCATCCAGCAAATATATGTTTAATTGCCTTTGGCGCGCATCTTCACATGTCACTTGCTCCAAATTGTTTCATTTCAATAACAGTTAGGCTCCATAGAAAGGTGATACTCCATCACAACTTCAAAGCTGCAAAAAAAATACCAGTAAACAACCCAACAATATATATGTAAATTATAACATAGGACAATACATATGAAACCTTTTCAAATCACATGTTCCATGAAGAAAAGAAGTGAGATGGATTTCAACGCATTAGGTGGGTAAGTTAGAGTACCTATAGCTGATCTGGCCATTTCTAAGCCACAGAGATAATCTTTTCAAATAGCTTATGAGGGTTTTTGTGTACAATCACCCTTCACGTTTTGGATGGGGCAGGAAACATGTGGGTTGATGCCAACTAAACTTTTCATCCAAAAGACTGGCCCATTCAAACCTCTTTCCGCAATTACTAAAATAACATCCCTAGTGAGCGACTCTCGATCTTTGTCAAAGGAGAAGAGATTACATTACATACAAAGAAATACCACAAGATTTGATTTTCTATTCAAAGAAAAAGGCTTAATTTTCACAGAATTCTAATCACTAAGANGTGACTCTCGATCTTTATCAAAGGAGAAGAGATTACATTACATGCAAAGAAATACCACAAGATTTGATTTTCTATTCAAAGAAAAAGGCTTAATTTTCACNGCGACTCTCGATCTTTGTCAAAGGAGAAGAGATTACATTACATACAAAGAAATACCACAAGATTTGATTTTCTATTCAAAGAAAAAGGCTTAATTTTCACAGAATTCTAATCACTAAGATAGTGGAAAACATATTCTGCAAAACAAGAAATCCAAAAAGAGAAAGAAAATAGAAAACAAATCAAACCATCCAAAACCGTTTAGGTATGCATTTTCGTACCTATTATTCCCGTCTTAGTTCCAGCTGTTGCATTGCCTGGCAATTTCACTTATGCATAACTCCCATCCACAGCCAAGCCCGTTAAATACTCTCGCTGCCCATTTACTTTGATCTCCACAGATTCCTGTTTCTAAATATTGGTTTTTGCCATCGTCCTTCAGTGACGAAATCATCAGACTATCATCCTTTATGTTCCTACACTCAGCAGTGCCCTGATTGCCAATAATTATGAGTTGATCATTCCCAGCTGTCTCTGCACATGATAAACATAGAATCCACAGCAAAATATTTTTGACTTTTTAAAATTGCTTCTGAGCTTGGTAAAGTAGTTTGATTTTCTTGAACTTGTTTTTTTAGATCATCATTCAAAACAGAAGCTTTGATCCTCTTGAATCCACTTTTTCATTGCATTATCTAAAACAGAAGATTGATCTTTTCGAACTTGCAAATCTGTTAGATTGCCTGAAAAAGCAGCTTGATTTCCCTGGACTTTCTCCCTTAGAGCATTGTCTGAAAAGGCAACTTGATCTTCTTAGACTAGTTGTGTTAGTGCTGGTGCATAGCCTGCAACAGCAGCTTGATACTCTGTTGGTTCATTACTGGAATCAGACAGTGTCTTCCACAGTTTTGGCCCTGAGTTCAATGGTTAAAATGGAGGTAGCAACATTAGTCGCTTCAGATGATGCGTTTGATTCTGGGGCAACACTGGTAGTAAGGAGAACAGTTAGACCTGCAGGCTTCACAGAGTGATCCTGCGCTTGCTGCATTCCAGCAGGCCATGAGGCATTTCGTGGGACAGCAGAAGAGGAGGTATGTGTAGCTGTCAGACCGGTACGAATGTGGTGCACATTAGGATAAGGACCCAGGTGAGGACAAGGCAATGAGTTTATGTAGCCTGCCGCAGACGAATTTATCAAAGAATCTCAGCATTCAATGGGGTAGCAACACGAACCCCAGCCGCAACTGCAGTAGCTTTTGTTACCAAGAAATATGGGCTGAGATTAGTATTTTTTTAGGTCACTCCAACTTTGGACAATGGTTCTGATGTTCCTCATCAATGTGCGACAGATGAAGCTTCAGCAGCAGTAGGAAGTGCAGAGTACTAGGTGTGTTGTTTGAATCAGTCCCAGCTGTTTCAAAACAATCAAGTTTGCACAGAACAGTACCTAACAGAAACATAAATTTGGGGGGGGGGGGGGGGGGCGGGTGGACANAGGAACAGAGTTATAGAGTGGGGGGGAGCAAAACCTGGTATTGTTGGTGGTGATGATGGCTGGCGGTGGCTGGCAACGGCGGTGGCGGTGGCTGGGAACGGCGGGGGGGGGGGGGGGGGGGGGGGGGGCTCTTTTGCAACCTTACATTTGAAGCTATAATGTAATTAGAGAAAAGGTTTCAATACCCCCTTAATATCCCACATTGAAGACGTGAAACATTAACCATGGTAACAATTGAATCTTTGCCAAGTCATGCATGAATAACTTCACGAATTGAAGTGATCAACAGGGAGAAAAACACAATCATCAATTGCAGTGATTAACAGAAATATTAAGAAAGAGGCATCAAGAAGAAGATCAGGAAGAGGATAAACAAAGATACTTAAGAACTCGATCTTGAATTCTTATTGACCGTGTTCATCAGCGTGTATATTTTATACACGAAATGTACAGTGTGGTTTAACGTTATTTAGCTTGGATTTTCCTTGGGCCTCCCTCACATGGTTTCCATTGGAGTGTTGTCTTTGACTGCACTTCAAGACACCTTTGGAAGAGAATGGAAATCCCAGTTGTGGTCTTCGTCACCGATGCATTCCAATCGATCTTCACATCCAAAACCTGAGCCAGTTCCTGAAGCAATGGCAGCAATGTCGCAGCCGTATACCTTCTATATCATTAACACAACAGAGAGCTCAATCAATAGATGCATCTATATACTTCAAATATATATATATATATATAGATGTTGAAAGTGAGAACAAAAACGCAGAGAGACCTTTGTGAGAGAGTGGTACATGTCTTCTTCACCGATTGATTCCTTTTTGTGATTCTTTGTCATCTCAACCACTGTTTCTTTTCTGCTGAAATTGCATGTTCTGACGAGAAATTGAACAAGAAAGGGCTCTTCAGTAAGAACTATTTCCTAAAAATTCACAGTAAGACCCTAGATTGAAAAAATGGCTAGAGGAGACGAAGACCAAGACGACGTCGCATACAAGGAGTAAATAAAATAGAGTCAGCTGTCTGTTATGTTTGTTTTGATCGTGCAAGTCTTTGAAAGGGGTAAATTGTTGAAATTAAAAACATAGGGGAGCTAATTGCAACATCAGTCAAAGTTGGAGGGGATAATTTGTCATTAACCCTACAAAAAATAAAAGACGAATTTCAATTTGTACCTCAAAAGATTTCAAATTTCACATCTTATACTCTTAAATATTAAAATTTTCATAATACACCCTCAATGTATCAAATTGTTACCATGTATCCCTTTTATTAAGTTTCCGTTAATTTTTTTGTTAGTGTAAATAGGTTGACTCTTGACGGAAAAAATAACGAAAGCTAACAGAAAAGTCACATTATAACACTTTTGATATAATGAGAGTGCAATGTAAAAAATTTAATCTTTGAAACTATAAAATAAAAAACTTAAATTTTTTTAGGATACAAAGAGCAAAAAGTCCAAAAACAATCCATAGCAAAAATGAGATATTATTTGATTTTCTAGTATTTGAATGAATCTTTGGTTTATAGGGCATAGAGCTGAGGGTAAGTTTAGTTATAAGAGTAAGGTTTAGGATTTTAGNAAACCATTTCCATAGCAAAAATGAGATATTATTTGATTTTCTAGTATTTGAATGAATCTTTGGTTTATAGGGCATAGAGCTGAGGGTAAGTTTAGTTATAAGAGTAAGGTTTAGGATTTTAGACTTTCAATTCACAGATTATTCGCATCACCTTGAACATGATTAATAAATAAGTCAAGTAAATATTAGACCATCTAACATGATTACTTAAACATATAAATCGATGATTGACTAACTTGTACATATTCAATTCAAACATCAAGCAATTTTATCCCTCTATGGACTATATAGATTCCAACAGTATGTACCTTGGCTGGGTTGGTGCAAGTGATCTTACAAATTGGAATCACAACCATTTTGCCACCATCACCATCTAACCTCTTTCCTTATTTTTTTTCCATCTTTACCCTTTTTTATGGGCATTACAGGCAAATAAGTGGGTCAATCCCCTTCTTTTTTTTTTTTTTCTCTATTTTTCCGTGTTGAACTGTACAAAAGAACGCACTATTGCTCCATTATGACATGATAAAGATATTACGGATTTAAATCATGAAAAAAAAATAGAATTGGGGAATGAAATTTTGTGCATTGGACCGTCTTTCTTCCGTACATAAGGAGAACTGATACAATGCAAATGGTGTGCTATCCATCTGTATATTACACCATGAGCTTTATTCAATTATTCTCACAAAACCATTGAAAATAGAATCTACAAAACATGAATACATCGGAACTAATTACTATGATGTTTCCTGTGTCCATTTTGGAAAGAAAAAAAAAATGAGAGCCTAAAAATAAGTTATTTGCTCGTACATACATCTGGACATAGATGTTGCAAGGAACTCTTTAACAAGTTTGAGGTGGGGGGAAAAAAAAAAAAGCAATCCACATGCCAAAAATGCCCCAAATAACCTTGGAGAGCGAAGTTCGAAATTGATCACCAGACATCCCTAAGATACCGTCCATCCATTTGAAGTTTCTTCACAATGGCCTCCGCCTTTGACGAGTCCACATTTTCCTGAAACCAATTCAAGATAAATATTAAAACCAATGTGGTGAAATCAAGAAAACTACAACTTGTCAGCTCTTGGATACAGACTTCAGCTAATCTGTCCAAGAAATATCTATAATGTCTATCTAATTGTAATTTTTATGTTTACCATAGGTTTGAACCAACATGATTTGTGATTCAGCACTTGATCTAAATTATGCCAATCTGCAAGCTTAGATTGCATATGCCTACCCACCTACGTGTATGGATTAGGACACTTAGTGTCAAGCCAAAAAAATTGGCAATGTATACAAAGGTGTGCCCTGTCTCAGAACAGAAGCAGGAACAGGGACAAACTAATTGGACTGAAGAAGAAAACAAGATGCTGGACTTGCAGAGGAATCTCCAGAATCCCAAAGGTCACAGACAAACAACCGACCTTCAAAAAATGAATAAACGTTGGAGACCTAAAGGCTGGAAGAATCAAGAGGATGTGGCTAATTGAGTATAATTGACGAAGAGGAGGAAGGCATCTTTGTTCCAGCCTGATATAGGCATGAGGAGTAATTTATTCCAAGTCATTAACAATGCATGGCTATGAATAGTATTGGGCTCTATGGCTCCTCAATATTAGCTCGTTTGAAGCTTCTTTTCTGCATAACACTTCAGCAGTTGTGCTCGTAATAAAGAAGGCGGCCAAGAGAGAGAACAGTACTTCATACCTGCTCTTGGACAATGGTATGCAACGTGCGATGCACGTCTCTGGCCATACCCTTGGCATCACCACATACATAAAGATATCCCTCGGTGGCAATTAAACTCCAGAACTGGGCTGCCTGCACATGGGAAAAAGATGAACTAACTATAAGCATAGGAATTTATCTCCTGAACTGCAAGCTATGCTTGCTGCTCTCTACTTACTTTTTCCATCATCTTATATTGAACATAATCCTTTTGTGGACCCTCCCTTGAGAATGCAACAATCATCTCCGATATCACGCTTTGTTCCACAAAATCGTTGAGCTCGTTTTCATAAATGAAATCCTACAAACAAAGATCGAGATAAAAACATTTTCGCAGAGGATATTCAAAAGGCCATTTCCCCAAGAGTAAACGATAGCCCTAATCTTTACCATTTGGCGGTTTCTACATCCAAAGAACAGCAGAGCAGGACCAAGCTGAACACCATTCTCTTTTAGGGCCAATCTTTCCTGGAAAATAACTCTATCGTTTTAGATTTCTTTCATGTAAAACCAATAATAAAGCACACAGATTATGAAGTCAATCCAAACCTGTAGGAATCCTCTGAAAGGTGCCAGGCCAGTACCAGGTCCCACCATGATGATTGGAATGGAAGGATCAGCTGGTAGTTTGAAACTAGATGACCTAATAAAAATAGGGGCTATGCTACAGTCCTGGCTCTTCTCTAGAGGCACTGCATTCTGAATGATGCAGCTGAATGATGTTACATAACAATAAAGACGAAGAAATGTCTTAAAGAGAGAGTGAAAATGCCACACATTGCATCAACCAGTACAGTTATATCATCAAATAACAACAGAAAAACAGAAATGTGCATGTTCAAAAAGTGAAGGCTTGTTTCATACCTTCATCCAGGTTGAACACACCCCTTTATGAATTCGGCCTGTAGGACTTGGGCCATAAACTAATGCACAGGTCACATGAACTCTATCGGGAGCATATCTGCACCAAGTGAAGCAAGCAACAAATCAAATTTCTGAGATCTCTACATGCCAGTTAACAAATCTTCTAGAAAGTTATATTTTTGCTCCCAGTCCCAGATAGATACCTTTTAATCATGCATGTGATATAACTACTCAAAAAACTCACCTAGGGGAGGATGAGATAGAATAGTAGCGTGGCTGTAAGCGAGGGGCTACAGCTGCAAAAAATACACCAAGGGGAGGTTTTGCAGACGGAAACTCTGCCATTACCTCAAGAAGGCTTCTTTGACTTCCAACAACCCATTGCGAATATTCATCCTGCAGACGAAGACAGCAAAATAAACTTAGGGAGATATATGAAACAAAGGTGTTTGTGTTGAATAGAGAAAAAGTAAAACTAGAACAGTTGCTAGCTACTGCCAATTACGTGAAGCCATGTACCGTATAGGAAGGGGGAGTTATTATGGAAAGAGGGAAAGAAAAGCATAATACAAGCTTGTTTACCTTCCCCTGAGATGATGACAAGAACTTAAGCCTCTCTGCTTCACTAGGTTCAGTTGCATGAGCAGCCAAAGCAACTAAAGCAGCCTGCAAAAGTGAATATTTGGAACAATTAATAATTATTGAAAATTACCAAACTTGTCCAGAAAATTAGTGAAGTCAAAATAAATCACCTTTCGAGGAGGATTCAATAGATCTGCATA